AACGGTTCAAGATGCAAGATTCCAAGAAAGGAACCTTACCGATGAGCAGTGGCACAGTTCTCTGCAAGAGTCAGTGTCCTACGACACCTGATGAGCGAGAACGCATGGATCGGATTCCATATGCTTCGGCAATTGGATCGATCATGTATGCCATGCTTTGTACTCGACCGGATGTATCCTACGCGTTGAACATTACGAGTAGATATCAGTCAGATCCAGGTGAGTCACACTGGATCACCGTCAAGAGCATCCTGAAGTACTTGAAAAGGATTAAGGATGTGATCTTGGTATACGGTGGGTCGGAAGACGAGCTCGCTGTAAGAGGTTACACAGATGCTAGTTTCCAGTCAGACCCAGATGACTACAGATCGCAGTCTGGCTATGTTTTCTGCTTGAACGGAGGCGCTGTTAGCTGGAAGAGTTCCAAGAAGCTGACCGTTGCAGATTCTACTACAGAAGCTTAGTATATTGCAGCGTCGGACGCAGCAAAGGAAGCTGTTTGGATCAGAAAGTTTGTTGGAGACTTGGGTGTCATTCCTAGTGCTGATAGCCCCATTGCTCTGTATTGTGACAACAATGGAGCGATCGCACAAGCGAAAGAACCCAGATCCCATCAACGATCCAAACACATACTCAAACGGTTTCACCTTATCTGGGAGATCATAGACAGAGGAGACATGCACATTTGCAGGGTGTTGACAGACGACAACATTGCCGATCCGTTGACGAAGCCTCTCCCTTCGTCGAAGCATGAGGGTCATGTTAGGGATATGGACATTAGATGTTTAGCAGTTCATGATTAGAGCAAGTGGGAGATTGTTGGTTTAGTGCTCTATGATGTACTGTTTATGAGCTTTATTCAGATACATTTGATGTATTGATACTTTCTACGGTTTTATGAGAGTATTTGATTCATTACATGTTCTTGCATACTAGATCTGTTATGAAATCCATGTATCATTATGAATGATACTAAACTCCCTAGTCTTGTGTCGTTACGGGAATAACGACATACTAAGACTAGTATGATGTGTGATTGATGATCACATAGATGATCATAGGTATTGGATACGATCACAATCATAGGTATTCGTTGGAGAACGGAATACTGGATTGACCCGCATGAGATTGTCACATGGACTAGCGTCATGACTTGAATCTCATATGACGGTTCCATGATTGGATCCTAAGACCTGAAATATCTACGGAATCCAACATGAGGAGTTGCGTACTTTGATTACGTCAAACGTCTGGCGTGACAGGAGGACTATAAAGGCGTGTATCAGTACGAAACGAATCATGTGCTGGATTGTAGATAGTCAAGACGAGATTTGTACCTCTCGTAAAAGAGAGAGATATCGCTGGGCCCCTCGTGTGAGCAAGACTGTAGAAATGTGTGGCCGCACTATAGACGAACGTCGTCTATTTCAGACAGTCGAACTCAGTGAACGAGAAAGCAGTCGAATCAGATAAGGTGGCTTGTCCATGCCTTATATTCGACATATGATATCGTGATACAAAAGGATCATCAAACGGAATCATCACTAGCGTTCGTAGGATCACGAACAAACTCTATTCGAGACAGGTAGTCATAGTGTCTTGCTAGAGACCGCCTATGATTTGTATAACCGAAATAAGAGTGTTATACTGTTATATCGGATGAGCCTACAGGGTCACACACACAGGAAAGGACGAATGCGCGAAAAGAGACGAGAAAATCCCGGTGGAGCGGAGGCCAGACCGACCGCTCCAGAAGGTCTGGACCGATCGGTCCAGCTAACCCAGACTGATCGGTCTAAACGTAGACCGGTCGGTCCAGAGGTAACGTGTGAGGTCCGGAAATTGTTCAGACCGATCGGTCCAGACATAGACCGATCGGTCCAGACGTCGGGATTTACTAAACTCGCTTTAATTAGGGTTTTAAGTGGGATTAACTTTGGGGCACGCCTCCTAACTCTCTTGGACGATTTTCAGACCCTATTGAGAGGTTTTGAGAGTGGAAAAATTAAGAGAGAGATCCCTGAAACCCTTGCGAAAAGAAGAAAGCGTTCTTCAGTCCTAGCAGACAAGTTCCAACTGTTGGAATCCTTTTCGCCGTGTGGATACGTGTAGAGGGCAAGGTATTCTTCCTGCCTACAGTGATCAGACGTGTTCTTCGATTGATACAGGCCCCGGATCGATTGAGGTAAGTGTTCTAACGTTTCTACAAGATCATGCATGATAGGTTTTAGGGTTTCATCAAAATTTTTGTTTTTCATCCGCTGCGCAAACCCTAGAACTGATCTCTTAGGAATTAGATTCGCTCTTGAGATCCCAGGAAAACCCAACAGATTCTACATTTATAAGGGTATATCTGATGTTGCCGTTTTCTTTTTACTGTGCGAGGGTATGGACTGTAAGTGAAATCGACATTTAAGGGTATTTTTGCAATTGCCCCTGGTGTTGTATGTACATTTTTTTTTCATTTTAATTTTTGGTTTGGTGCGTATGTTCCAATGATAAGATGGGTTGGTTCAGTTCTTGGGGGTTAAATTTTTTTATTAATAATTTTGCAATTATTATTCGTCTCTTGGGATTGAGCCTCTCTTTTTGTCTTCGACTGTTCCAAGCTCTCTCCTTTCCTTGTTCCCTGATTCAACCACAATCCAAATCTCTCTCTTTTTAGGGTTTTTTAAAGATTTTTTTCTTCTCAGGTATAAGTTTTTTTTTTACATCTCTTCTTTTTCCATGTTCTTGATTCTGGATACCCGCCATGATTAATCTGTGCTGTGTTTCTTGATGGGTTTCGCTTTTTTTTCGAAAAATTCTCATCCTTCAATTATTTTCTGGTGATGAAATCATCAAAAACTTTATTGATTTTCTGGGTTTTCCAAAAAATAAAAACTTTATTTCCTGCTTTTTTTGGCCACGTACTGAAATTCTTGCTCTGAAGATTAGGGTTTTTTTTTATTTATTTTACTTTTGTTCACCCTTCTTGTTAATCGTCTCGTAGATCGGGTTCCAAATCTTTCCTGAATTGGGTTTCATTTTCTTGATGATATCATGCACAATTCATCTCAGTTTCTTGAAAACTTTGTCCGATGGTCTGAATTTCGTCTGATATTTCATCCACAATCCGTTCACTTACTTCATCTTCTTCCACTGCAGGATCTTGTTTTCCGACAAAGTTTCATCGGATGAAACTCGCTGTAATAAGATTCTGCAATTCACTCGGAACTCACAACCCAAAGACGTGCAGTTCCTGAAACAGGGCAAGAGAAAATAAAAAGCTTCGAGTGCTTATCCATGGCAGTTTACTACCCAAGCACTGTAACCTGTAACAGAGACGGCATGCAGTCTCTGTACCAAGAACCCTTGTACCTGAACCAACAACAAGCTTCTTCTTCCTCCGCCGGATCTTTCTCCACCATAGTCGCCGGCGGCGGTAACTGTCTTGAGATTCCTCACGCTGGTGTCCGAAACGAAATGGTCTTTATCCCACCCACCGGAGAAGTCACAGCTTTGCAGGGTCTAAACGCAAACGCTGTTTCGAGTAGCGATCTCAGTTTCCATGGCCAAGGATTGTCACTAACTCTCGGGACTCAGATCCCAAATGCAGTCGCCGTCCCAGCGTTTCAGTATCAGTATCCGAACATGTCGAACCAGTTGAGTTTTGGTCCGAGTCACTCTATACCTGTTAAGGAAACACTGTCTTGCAAGAGCAGGGAGATGTTAGGGCAATCTGAACAGATACCCTCTTCGGGATTCAACCTCGAATTCTACAACGGTTATAGGTGCGATTCGTCGGGATTCATGGGCAGTGTGATGTGTTCTCGGTACCTTAAACCAGCACAGCAGTTGCTTGATGAAGTGGTTAATCTCAGAAAAGATCTGAAACAGGTGAACAAGAACAGTAATAACAACAAAGGTCAAGACTTTAATGGATTCAGTGATTATAAGGATACAGAAAACGGTTCTAATGTGAGTGAATCAAACGGGAAGCCATTACAGTTATCGCCCTTAGAGCGACATGATCTGCAGGACAAGAAAACCAAGCTTCTGTCCATGGTTGACGAGGTAAAAAGCTTCATCACCAGAGTCACATGTATATATGTGTTATATGGATTGGTTTCTGTTAACGGATTCTCTGGTTACTGAAAAATTCGATGTTATCACTAGGATTTACCCTATACTCATTCAATTAGTGAGATCGGGTTTTGATTATTATTTGAAAGCATTCTTGTTGTTGGGAATTTCTGAAGATTTGGTGACATTTTATGCAGGTGGATAGAAGGTACAACCAATATTACCATCAAATGGAAGCCGTGGCTTCATCTTTCGAGATGGTAGCCGGTCTTGGAGCAGCCAAGCCATACACTTCGGTTGCCTTAAACAGGATATCTTGTCATTTCCGTTGCTTGCGTGATTCAATCAGGGGCCAGATTCAGATTATCAGAGGGAAACTCGGCGAGAAAGATTCCTCAGAAGAGAAAGAAGAGCGGATTCCACGTCTTCGGTATTTGGATCAGCGGCTAAGACAGCAAAGGGCTTTGCATCAGCAGCTCGGGATGGTCCGACCAGCTTGGAGACCCCAAAGAGGCCTTCCCGAAAACGCTGTTTCCATCCTCCGGGCTTGGCTTTTCGAGCATTTCCTTCACCCGTAAGTTCTTCAAATCTTATCGTACTTCTTTCGCCTATGTATCTAATCTCTATCAAGTTCTTACTTTCTGGGTATGGATGAACAAGAGTGTTTTCAGACATCAACACTGAATCTATCGAACGCTAGTCTTACTTTGTGGTCTGTTATGCTTTCTGTGTCCAGTTTCTCTTATTTTGGTGATCTGTTCTTCTGAATTTCTGCAGATATCCAAAGGAATCAGAGAAGATCATGCTGGCTAAGCAGACGGGTCTGACGAAAAGCCAGGTACCGAAAACTTAAATCTTTGGGTTTTTTTTTTGTCTCCCAAGTTGTAGATCTGTTCTAATGCTTGAATGACATAGAAAAACATCTCGGGTTCTGAAACCAGGTTGCGAACTGGTTCATAAACGCGAGAGTTCGCCTCTGGAAACCGATGATTGAAGATATGTACAAAGAAGAGTTTGGTGATTCCGAGTTAAACCCTAAATTCTGTCAAGAGAACAATGCAGACAGCTCACACACGACAGACTCACAGTCACAACAGAGGATCAACAACAACAAGAACAGCAAGAACAACATCTCATATTCATACGCAGACACAAACACTGTCTTCACTGATCCGAAACAAGATGAATCTCAGCAGATGAACCGATCAGTAGAGTACGAAACTCTGACAAACTATCACGGATTCAATCTCGATGATTACAACAGGTTTTCCAATCCTCATCACTTACATGACTTCGTTGTCTGAATAAAACCAAACGCATTTACAGTCTTTGGCTTCACAGTCCAAGAACTGGAGGTATTGCTGGAACAGAAACATGATTCTTGACACGCAAGAAACCGCATTTTTCATTTGTATAGGTTGGGGAATATATGATGTGATATGTGTAACATCTCTGTGGCATATAAGGTTAGATTTCTGAAGGTGTAGGTATATAGTCTAGTCACATATATTTGTATATGAGGGTATGTATAGGTGGTAAGTGAGTCAATATTTGTAATATGCTTTTGTGTGTAATAATGTTGTTATGATTCATGGTGGTATGAAAGAATACTTGCAAGTGTGAAAAGGTTTTAGTTTAGTTGTGAAACAAATTTGATGTCATTACACTTTCCTAAGTTCGAAATCATCTTGGACATGATACTCTCCAAGAAATCATCTCCTCCACCCTTACATCTTCCACTCTATAATGTCCTGACTACATCTTCTGTTGATATTTGGCACTAACGTCTTGGTCGTGTTACTTCCCTCTTAATTCCTCTCAAAGAGTGTCTCTCTCTATTCATTTTTACTGTGGTTTTTAATTTACAAAAAAACGGAAAGACAATAACTACTTTTTAATATTAGTTCTTCAATAACCATAAATCTTTTCCTGGTTTTGATTGAACCAAACCCATATGAATTTTGTCCAGCTTCCCCATTTTTTTCGGACCTTGATACAAACACAAACACTAACACCTTGTTCTATTTGCCCTATTACAAAACAAAATTGTTTATCCTATCCAGTTCCAAGTCATATTTCTTCTAGGGCCATTGAGCTTCTACATCTCAATGTTTGAGGTCTTTTTCATGTTCTTATCATTCCGGATTATAGATATTTTTTCACGATCGTTGATAATTGTACTCGTATGGTTTGAGTTTATAAGTTAGTAAATAAGAGTGATGTACAATTTAAGCTCCACGAGTTCATTGTTTTGTTAAACACAGTTTGAGGCACAAATTAAATAAGTTGAAACCGATAATGCCCCTGAATTGAACCTCATTGATCTTTTAACCAAAAAAGGTATTCTTCATTTTCGTTCTTACCCTTATACTTTTCAACAAAACATTTTGGTTGATCGCAAATATCAACACATTCTCAATGTTGCACATGCCATTCTTTTTCAATCAAATGTCTGATTACATTTTTGGAGTGAATGTATTCTTATATCTGTTTACCTCATTAATATAACCCCTTATAAAACCAAGCAAAATTATTCTCATTTGAAAATTTTGGGTGCCTTTGTTATGTTTCAATACTTGTAAATGATCGACATAAATTCTCTCCTAGAGCTAAACTTGATGTCTTCTTGAGGTATCATAGTGAAACAGGGCGTTAGATCTTACATCAAATAAGATCTTGGTCTCTAGAAATGTTGTATTTCATAAAACAAATTTTTTTTTTAAGACAATATTCCACTCCTGGATTTGTTGGGTTTTTTTCTCCTACTCAATGTCCTTATAATGATATTTTCTTATAGTTTTAGATGCATTCTACCCTGCATTCTGTACAATTTCAGGTTCTAGATGATATTTTAGGCACGAATATGATTTAGGTCTTGAACTCACATCTTCTTCTGATTCTACTGTGGTTTCTGATCTTGTGTCTTCCCTTGTTTTTCAGTCTCTATTATTTCTCATCATGTGTCTATTGTACCTCAACATCATGTTAAACTACCATCATACATTCCAGATCCCCATTGTTATCTTTCATCATCACTCACCACTATCACAAATACCAAAAACACCATATCTTTTATCTGCTTATAAATCTTATAATACTTTACAACCTACCTGTAGAAAATGTCCTTTCATTACACTACATACATAAACCAAAACATATACCCAAGTTGCAAAAATTGTTTATTGGAAAAAGGTCAAGTCTTTTGAGTTAAAGGATCTAGATCGAATAAAAACCTTGACTATGTGTTCTTCGCATGTTTGTAAGAAATCCATTGGTTGTAAGTGAGTTTTCAAAATTAAATATAATCCAAATAATTTGGTAAAACGATTGGTGGGACCTTGACTATGTGAGTTTTATTTGTCTTAGCTACTTTTGAAAACTGATCTTCTAGTACCTAATGGATGTTTCAAACGCTTTCTTAAATGAAGATCCTTTAGAAGAGATTTACATGATGTTGTCTATAGGGTACTCAACATTTAAGGGGAGGGTGTATCTTCTGATAAGGTTTGTAAACTTTGATGATCTTTCTATGGCTTTAAACAGACATCTCGACAATGGAACATAAGCCATCTCAAATCTTGATTGTTGCAGGCTGCATATAGGACACTCAGACATTTGGGTTGGTTTTGTTTCCTTTGTATTTTGGTTTATTGAGTTGGTTAAAACTTTGTTATTTTCGGTTTATTGACAGAAGAAAATATAAACTTTCTTATTCTTCAGTTTAATGAGAAAATTCGGGAAGATTTCCCCAATTCTCTCACTTCCCGCTGTTTCTTATTTCAAATTGCAATATGCTATAAAGAAGATGAAACTAAAAAAGGAGAGGACTTTATTGTTGATGTTCGTCTTACCCCTAGACAAATAAAATTCCCTAATCTTTCTACGTCCAAGACCCATAACTGCCAAGTACTCGTCATAGTTCATAGCAAACGTTGATACTGGGAGTTGGAGAATGAAAATTTGTGATTGTGGGTCTAACTACAGCAAGAATTTGATCTTCAGATTTAAACTCGAGAGAAGCGATGAAAGGATTTTAAATTGGGTATTTTACCGTTTTCTAGGATTTTCGTCATTTCAAGGAAAAACCGGAAGGCTCAAGGCAACGCGAGGAGGCAAGATCAGTCGCTCGTCACGTCTCCAACCCATTGCTACTCGCCTCACCACTCGCTTCGACTCTGCACTCGTCAATATGCCGCGTGCTCTTTGGGTACGTGTTTTCTCTCTCTGAGTCTCGCTTTCCTTGACCTCTTCACCTCTTTCCTCACGATCTCACAAGGCGAGGCTCGCCCCTTTCGCATCATTCTTCATATCGTCGAACCACACCTCGCCTTCTCAGTTGGATAATCTGCAGTACTTGATTTTTGGAGTATTTCACAAGCATCCGAAAATTGAATACCAAATTCGAACAGAACGATGACGGGATCCAAACCCTAAAACCCGAGAAGCATAGGATCGAGATTGGTACCCCAAAATCACGATTATTTGATCCGTGTTCAACCCTAATAGTTCGATACCGGCTAAACGAGAATGGGAAATGCTAAAAATCATGAAGGATATCACCAACCCTAATAGTTCATGTTGGTATCGGAAAATTCACCTAAGAGTCCCATAGTTGAAGATAGATGCCAAAGCTCTTCAAGCTGCAATTGGAAAAGCCATCACCAAAGCCATCGTCAGTGTATGGCTTCTCCAGGTCTCGACACATTACCTAGAGAACTAATCGATTCAGCACCCCCGGATCGATTTTCTTAAGAGGGTCATGCATTTACCAGTACCAAATCAGAGAATATTCTCCATTTTATTCTTCACTCGCATTGCTTCAAACATAGTTGATGACATCCTTCGAGTTCCAGCCACAAGAGAAAGGGGCATTTGAACGGGCAAATCAAACAGAAAGCATACCTGAATCCATCCCACTTATGATGAGTGATCCTTTAGCCCAGGCCTTGCCTTCTGAATATTATTTTTATAGCATGTTTCCTGTGGATCATCAATTGCACTGGAAAATATATGATGATTATTAATCAACAACCTGAACCTATGTTGATTCTCAGGCCACAACAATCCATATTTCTTCTTCCACGTTTCTTTCATTAGTAAAATTACCCCCACATAAGAGATTTAGTGTGAAACGAGCAAAAGAAAACATGAGGGGGATTGAACAAACGTTTTAAGACAAGCTCTGCCTTTAGCAAACTTTCCTAAAACCGATATTCCCTTCACTAAATCTACTGTCACCTCCCTCTAACCCCCCCCCCTTTCGATCCGATCCTAAGCAGACCATAATATTAAAAAAAAACTGCTGTTTCGGATGCGGATCACTATACCATTGAACCACATCGAGGGGTTTCACTCTCTCGTTAACAGTCATCCCCAATCATGGCTGAAGTCTCGGGTTAAAGCCCTGAAAACTGGAAAAAGTGGAGGAATTTCAGGTTAAGAAATCAAAATTTGGTTGCCAATTGAGGAACAATAATGACTAGGGGTTTCCAAATTTGGTTAATAATAACCAAATTACTGAACCGATCCGAATTTGATAATAAAAAAAAACCCGAATGGTTATGATTTATTGAAAACCAAAAAAATTAAACCCAACCGAACCATAGCGAATTGTAAAAAATATCTGGAAAACAGAACATTTCTTTGAAAATGAGTATTTCATAAAAAAAATAACCCAAAACAATCCAAACCTAATTCAATATAAAAACCGAATGAGTAGATTTTTTTCTAAAACCGAAATAATCAAGACCCGAATATAACCAAACCTAAAATGGATACCCCTATTGACAGATAGTAACAAGGCGTATGGTTTTTTGTACCTGAATAATTGATAGTGTTTTTTACTCTTTCCGATGCCTAGACCAAAACCCCTTCTTCTTTGATGCAGAATCCTTGAATAAGGGCTTACTCAACTTAGAGCCTATAGAACCAAATTGCCATTTCAAGAACGGCTTCAATGAGCCTATGGTACTGGAACTAGGATCCATCTTCAGAGCTTTTCCATCTCGGTTTCCCATCTTCTGGTACACGAAATCGTCACTTTCCCCATCAACATAACTATCTACGACACGTCTTTTGTATCTTCTGTAGTGCTTTGCTTTCAATTCAGCCTGAGCCTTTAGGGCTTTCTTTGACATTTTAGCAACCTGTTTCTCCCCGACTGTGCATATGGGACAGGCCGGATCGTACTTTTCCATCTCAGTGGTCATGATCTCTAAGCACTCCGCATGGTACACATGCCCACATGCCAGAACAGAAGCTATTGGGAGTTCGTAATTTGAAATAGAAGACCTCTCGGTCAATAGCCTTGCGCAAGCCCTACAAGTCTCACGATCGACAGAAGGAGAGTACGAAAATCTGCTGCTACACCCACTAAGTTTTATTCGGCTAGAGCCCAGGTGTTCGTTATCAAAGGACCATCTCTCTCTTTGGGAAGATGCCATGAGCTCATGAAAGGCGTTCATGGACCAGCTACCTTCAGAAGAAGCATAATGAGATCCAGTGGCAAAATCATTGCTGCAGTTGGAAAGTACAAAGGATGATCTTCCTTCAGAAATTGAGTAGTTATTTGTGGATTTCAATCCCAAGATTTGAATATCGGAAACCTGCCTAAACAACTGATGCCCAGGTGATCGTCGAGCTTGTCTGGATGGAGTTGTTTTGGGAGGAAGCAAATGTGAGTGAGCCGATGAATGATCACAGACTGAAGTGGTCAAAGAAGGTGTAAAGAATGAAGGCTTTGGCAGAGTTGATGGAACAATATTTGGCGAATCAGCTAAATTCTTAACCTGAAAGATGGAAGATCCGAAATGGACGTAAGATGCCATGGAATGGAAGGGAGAAAGTAGTGCCCCTCGGGATGAACTATGTGAAAGGAACAAAGAACTCTTGGAATCAAACGAAAGCCACATAGCTATTCTCACCTCAGCGGGGCCATGACTTGTCAAGGATAAGTCTGTCACACAAAGAAGTACATCAGAGAACAGAAAAGATTCAATAATCCACGACAGCAATTGCATTTACCTAAAAGCTCAATACAATAGTGCTAGAAAGAACTACCTGAAGGTGAAGGAATCATGATATTTGTATCCAGTTCAGTGTGAGGAGGTGCTGACTTGTGAGAGGTGGGAGTTCTGAGATGCCCAGGAGGGCTATCTCCTTCAGATAGAGCTCCTCTTTCAGAACCTAAGGACAATTTATCCATGTTAATACCCTGTCTGTCGACATACGTATTATCGAAAGGAGAACCCTCAAGCTCATCAGCCACACGCCTCCTATTGTCCCGTCGAAAACTCCATGTAGGTGAGCGTGCTGAATTTCGATGGAGAGCTCCACCACCATGAACATTGGTAACATTACCATCCCTCGCAGCTACACAGCAAACTGAACCCATAATTGTACATAAAAATATGGGTCTTATCAGGAGCTCAAACACTGCCTTACACAAGCTCCGGGACTTTACACCTCGGCGTAATAACAGCCGCTATCTTACAATTCTACTCCTGAAAATGAGATCAGAGTAGAAAGAAAATCATGAGAATTTGCTACTCCTGGAAGTGACTGGTAATGGAAATTAATTTAACCACCAAGGACATCCGAAGGAAAAAACAACCTCCAAAACCAAGCAACAACAAGACAGAGAAATTCATCCAACAGAAGGAGAAACACAGAAATACTCACATAATCCCCCTCCCCAGTACTGTATATGATACAGAATTAATTCACAGAAATGATGCAATAACATACAACATCGACCTAGGATTCCAATCTCTTCGTCAAAATCTCAGGGAATTGGAAAATGCATTATCCGATGGAAAACATCGGAAAGTCATCCCCAATCATGGCTGAAGTCTCGGGTTAAAGCCCTGAAGATCGGGAAGAAAAACACGAGGACTCACCACACCGACTTGGATTCCACGGGATCGAAACGATGTGACCGACGATGATAGATTCGGAGATGCGACTGAGGCGGTGACAATGGCCGTCGACCGGAACCGATCTGAGAGAGAGAGACTGGGGAAGGAGAAGCAGTTGGAGGCGCCAGGGAGGAAGGAACTCGCACGGGGAATTGTGCCGCGTCCCTTCCTTTTTCTTTTTGCTTTTTCTTTTTATTTTTGTTTCTTATTTTACTTTGACATTTACATCACTTTTTTCCTAATTATTATTAAAAATATCCTATATAAAATAAATAGCTCAATTTTTTGAAAAATATATAAAATAAATTTTAAATTTTAAATTTGTTTAATTAATATTTCAAATATTAAAATATTTTAATAGCACTGCAATTTTTATTTTATAAATAGAAAATAATTTTCAATATCAAATCATAGAATCGAGAGAATTATTAATTTTTTTTAATAAATTATTATGAATATTATAATAGCATGACAAATGTTAAAAAAAATATTTTAAATCATCTCTAAAAATTGATGTATTATAGTGAATATCATATGGCGAAAGAAAATCATATGTCTCAAATGAGTATGAGCGAGATTATGATGTTGCGATGGATGTGCGGAAATAAAATGATGGATATAATTACAAATGAGACTATCAGAGAGAAAATAGGGATAACTGGTGAAGAAGATAAATTACGAGAAAGACGTTTAAAATGTTTTGGATATGTATAACTAGGGGTGTCAATTTAGGTTTGAGGCAAGTCTATCCCAACCCAGTCTAAAAATTAGCGGGATTCGGGTCTAAATTTTTTGGTCCGAAAAAATTTGGGCATTCGGACGGGGTAAATTCGGGTTTCGGACTCGATTTAGACCAATACGAAAGCCCGATATTTTTTTAAAAAAGGAAAAAAATGACATTTACAAAGGAAATTACGCGGGCTGGTCTAACCCAGCCTGACCTGATCTGAACCCGAAATATATAGGGTCAGGTTTCAAGTTTAGTTACATAGGTCCGAAAAAAAAAAATTGGGTCAATCCGAATCTGAACCCGAACCCAAAACTTTCAGACCATGAGTTCGGACCGGCCCGATTGACACTCTTATGTATAACTTGGGTCGATATAGAAAAGTGAAGAGTATAACAATGAGGTAAAGAGAAAAAGGAGAGGTAGATTAAGATATTAGAAATAATTTGGAATTGTCACAAATTTCGAAAGAACTAACTGAAGATTGGAACGAGTGGAGACGACTAATTGAATCATTTGATACCAAATAAATTTGGTATCAAGGCGATATCGGTTTTGTTGATGTTGTACAAAACGAGGTTTACATGTTGGAAACATGATGTACTCACTCGGTTGCATCGCTCTCCAAATAGAAAGTTTCTGATATTTGAGAAACATTCTAAATTGAGAGTTGAATCTAATGTCGTCGTGTGTATTTGTTCTGCATAAAGAAAGAGGAAAAAAAAAACATGCATACGAGAGAACAGGCAACAGAGCGTGGCAAAGGGGGCTTAGCCTTAGTTTACAACGAGGGAGAATTCTACAGCTCTGAAAGGTACATGCAGGAGAACAGAGGCTTTATGTACACCGTGAGGAACTCACACTATGTTACAGACATCGGTTTCAACAGCACACGAAAACCAGAAATACAAAGAGATGCAGAGACGGAAAAAAACGTAGAAGAAGACGTGTGGTTACCGGAGAAGGATTGGGTAAAACGGTCTCAGAGATCGGTGTTTATGGTCGCAGCTTCTGGATGGTAATGAAACATCTCCTTCCACATCATCTCTCTTATCGTCTCTTCGCCCAAATCCTCGTCTATATCAAGATCAATAGGGACTTGAGCCGGAGGATTGGCGTTTGGATCGTATAGAGGTGCCATGTAAGGGTGTTGAAGTGCTTCAGTGACACTAATCCGCTTTGTCGGGTCGAAAACAAGCATCTTTTGAAGCAGGTCGATGGCCAAAACATGTGCACCGGGGTAAAGACGGGAAAAAGACACGCCTGGAGAATACGGGAGCGATTTGATGTACCTTTTTGCTTTCGGGTTGTCTATGAATTCAAGATCTTCCTCTCTTTGGCTGCCGAGGATGTTGATAATTAGTTTAAGCTGATTAAGACACTCTGTACCCGGGAAAACAGGTTTCCTTCCAAGAAGCTCAGCGAAAATGCATCCAACGGACCAGACATCAATGGAGGTTCCGTAGTTGTCGCAGCAGAGGAGAAGCTCGGGAGCTCGGTACCAGCGAGTGACAACGTATTCCGTCATGAACTGACCTTTGGTGTTGCTTGTGCGTGCAAGCCCGAAATCACATATTTTTAAGTCGCAGTTTGCGTTGACAAGTAGGTTACCGGGCTTCAAGTCTCGGTGGAGAATGTTGGCCGAGTGAATATATTTGAGCCCTCGAAGCAACTACAGCAAAAAGAACAGAACGAGTAAACCAAAGTTGAGAGTAGATATGCACAGCTAAAACCAACAATATCAAATCAAAATCTATTGGAATTTGCTCTATATCAATGGAATCTCATCACTTATACAAAAGGAATTAGTGTAGCATACATTAAGAACTAGCCTTCTAATTTCTTCAGTTGTTGTATTGACAATGAGAAAAAACAAAATATGGAAGGAAGCAAAGCCCCAAAGATACCCAACTAAGCATTTTTCAGTTCAAGCAATTGAAAACGAACTACGGAAGCCAGAGAGATCATGAAAAGGAGAAATAGTTAGCAAGATTACATGGACCGACATCATCCAACGGATCACATACCTGGAACAAGAAGTACTGGCAGTGATCGTTGGTAAGCATCTGAGATGACTTGATAATCTGGTGGAGATCGGTATCCATGAGCTCATAAACCAAATACACGTCCTTGAAGCTTCTCCTATGAATAGGCATCATCACATCTTTCAGACCAATCACATTCTCGTGCCTAAGATGCCGTAAAAGCTTGAGCTCTCTCAGTGTCCTGAGAGCATCAATCCGGTTCTCAAACACGTTGTGTATCTTCTTGATCGCTACCTTCTGGTTGGTTTCGGTATTAACCGAAGAGCAGACTATACCGTAAGCCCCACGGCCTATCGGCTTGATGGGCAAATATTTCATGTCGATCTCGAACAGGGTTTGCCACATTGAGAAGTAATGCTTCCCTTGGTTCCTAATCCCATTTGGTGGATCAACAGGAGTCGCCATTCTTGTCCCCTTCACAAAAACAACAACAAGAACATAAATCCGAAAATCAAAACCTTTGGTAACTTGGTTGGATGTCCAAAAATTCTATGTGCAAACACTCCTCACGGACCCACGACTCAGATTCCATGAACAAGCTTTCGAAACCAATAACATCAACCGGCAAGATCAAAATATTTCTAAACTTGAAGTCCAAAAATCTAAGTTCGAACACTCTCCAGCACTTGGTAATAATTTTCAGCAAAACCCATGGGCTTAGATTCTATAATAAAGCTCTCGAATGTGAACTTACTCCTACACAGATCATACAAGTTCACAAACATAAACATAGAAACTGTACAAATGATAAACACAATCTGAAGCACATCGAGGCGGAAGAGGGGGGGGGGGGGT